AACGTTTTCGAAAAGACTTAAAAGGGAGGTCTTTTCAACCTTCGGCAGCTCAAAAGCTCGACATACCAATACTTCATCATGAGTCCTGCCATCACCCAGGTCACCGACCCTACGGTAGATGCCCATGTTCTGACCTCGCGTTCTGAAGAGGTCGAGAAGGTTAGCACGCCAATCTGTACCTGTGTAGGGGAGACTTCACTGACATCTGTAGTTGCTGGACCAAGTCCAAGATCTGATCATACCTTTCATCCGCTCAGCAGACAACCACAACTCTCCCAATGACCTTCTGACTGGTCACTCCAACGGAGTGAACAAGAAGGGGTTGCGCAAGGCATTGGTCGAGCAGCATGACCCGAGGGAACTGCAGAGGCTTATGGCATTGAGCTTTCCCACCGCTGGGCTTCTTGAGGAGGGCTTCTTGGAGGAAGTCGAGAAAGTCCTTCGCTACTCTGTGAATACCTGGGATGCGGGTTTCATGAGCAAGCTCTACGGCTCCACCGACGCACCAGGTCTGGCAGCTGAACTAGTGTTGGCCTCTCTCAACACCCAGGTCCACACCTTCCAGGTGTCGCCTGCACTAGCCGTCATTGAGAAGTTCACCGCACGCGCTCTCGCGAACCTGTTCGGACTCAATGGGGCTTTCGCAGGCGGCGTGACCACCTCGGGAGGATCAGGCTCCAATGCAACTGCTATGCTAGTGGCCCGTCATACTCTGTTCCCGGAGACGAAGCAGTTGGGCAACAGCGCTGGTGGGCTTCGACTGGCCGCTTTCACTTCAGCCAATGGACATTACAGCATCGAAAAGGCTGGGTTAATGCTTGGTCTCGGCACATCGTCGGTGTTTGCGGTCCCTGCCGATCCAGCGACTCGTAGCATGGATCCAGCGGCGCTTCGGTCCTGCGTTGAGAATGCCATCTCCGAAGGATTCACACCTTTCTTCTTGAACGCCACTGCCGGAACAACTGTTTTCGGCGCTTACGACAATCTTCGCCCGCTCCATGCTGTCTGCAAGGACTTCGGCATGTGGCTCCATGTTGATGCCTCTCTGGGTGGGCCCGCTGTGTTCAGTGCAAAGCACAAATACAAACTTGACGGAAGCCACTTGGCCAACTCCATCACCATCAACCCTCACAAGATGATGGGTGTTCCCGCAACTTGTTCCTTCGTGCTCAGCGCGGACATACGTCAGTTCCACACCAGCAACACACTACCCGCGAGCTATCTTTTCCACAGTGCTGATAGCTCGGAGGAAGTGTTTGACTTGGCTGATCTCACCATGCAGTGCGGACGTCGTGGCGATGCATTGAAGATGTACCTGAGCTGGATGTACCACGGCTACGAGGGCTATGCCAAGCAGGTTGACGCAGTCTTCAGTACCGCTGCATATCTTGCAAAGCTCGTGGAAGATCATCCAAATCTCGTGTTGATCAGCCCAAACCCGCCACCTTGCTGCCAAGTGTGCTTCTACTATGCGGAAGGAGGACGGTTGAGCGAGGATGCTGGTCGCAATGAGGAAGTTACGAAGCAAATAGCGGCGCAGCTCGTGCATCGGGGGTTCATGGTGGATTACGCTGGCGGAGATACCCGTGGCGCGTTCTTGCGACCAGTTGTCAGCAGGGGAACTGGCATCCAGAAGGTGGAAGAGCTGATCGAGGTCGTGGAGCAGATCGGATCCACTGTCTGGGGGAGCAACGTGGAGACCTTCATGGAGTACTCAACGGGTTCAGACGTTTCGCCCTAGCGTGGTAGTATTATTACCACTATTTCGCTTCAGTTTTCGGATTGATGATAGCGCACGATATCATTCGTTTGCCACATGCATCATCTGCAGTCCAATGTCAGCCGAGTTCCCGATCATCAAGGCGTGTATCAGCCAGTGATTTGACACAGCCCGACATGAAAGCACAGGTACTCTAGAGAGCATACATGGCTCATACCCACATACAGCATGCCGCCGTGAAGGAACCATTCGGCTGCAGGCCAATGTGGAATATGATAACAGCCTGTAGTAGTCCAGAGCCCAGGGTGTTCTTGTCATGGTGCCAAAGGTGTGACGGGCGTGTAACAAGTGCTTACCCCCGGTAGTGTGGCCTCAACGCCGGGCATCGTGTGGGTGTAGGAAAAGGGCTTGACCCATGGCGATGCCACCGAACTCGGGGCACGCGTGGCAGAAGCTGCATATGGGCAAGTAGATTAAATACAGGGCGTAAATCTAAACGCCATGCTGTCCAGATGCAAATGCGTGCTTAGACTTCGATGTAACGTCGTAAAAATGCGGGTGATCAACAGGTTTGCGCGAGATATGCAGGGTCCGCGGGAAGGGCTAGCGCGGTTTTAGTGCGGGGCTATCGCCTATATGTGCACGAAACTAGGCGCTAATCTCTATACACACCTCGCTTCTACTCAGGGTTTAGTTATTAAGAGTACTCTTACTTAAATATCTACCTACATGTGTGTCAAGGTGACGCGGCGGCCGTTTGCGGAAGTTGAACGCTGCAGGTTCCTAAGGCGTTTCCACCTCGCCAAGGCGCCTCTTGCGCTGCCGCTCTAACACAGGATACGAGAATGCGTAAGCGTAACCGTCCGAGGTGGTGCCGCGCAGCGCCGCGCAGCCTGGAGGCACGGTCGTCTATGGCACGGCACCACGGGGCGGCTCCTTTCCTTCACGCTGCGCCGACCTAGCAACCTGACACTACTAGACCAGGGTCCGCAACAGCGATGCTCGCATCAGCAGCACCTCAGCTTCAGGGCGCGATGCCGTCGCGCGGCCTCCTGCGCAGCTCTGCCCTTCTTAAGTCGCTAGACCTCTCGCTGTCTCACTCACGATCATCGGCAGCGATCTTCCCCTTGTGCGCTCCCCTTGGTCCTGCCCGCCACGTGCCGCCCTCCCCGTTGTGCCTTTCTTCCCGTCCCGCATCCTACACCCACAGACTCGTGTGGCGCCAGCCACCAACCCAAGAACAGGTTTGATGACGTAGAATCTGACCAATCAGCGCCCCGCACCAACGTGCCACAGTGATATATCCTGCCCAGCACGACACAGCAAGATTATTCATTTTCCTCATCTTTGGAACACCACATATTTGTTGTACGGAATTTTTTAGGTCTTAAGCTTTTACGACGTATACTCAAGACCGATACTGTGGGCTAAGTCAAGCTCCTAAGGTCAATACTGCCATCTACACGATGGTGCCCTCAATTCCCGCAATCCTGCAAACCCCTTGGCCTGAAAGACCGTCGACGAGGATTGTACAGCGTGATGAAGAGTCTCTTCGGCATGAAGCGGGGGAGACGGAGAATCGACGTGCGTTGGAGGAGTATCGGAGCCAGAAGAGCGCGCTGCAGGAGGAGAAACTGTATGTTCTCTCTACCGGCGCTTCCTTATTCTCTACCTGATCTCGGGTGTCTATTGTGTGTCTATGAAAGGGGTTCCTCCGATCTGATGTTGTGTACAGTGCCGTATGTCCTCGCCTCACGCTTCGACTCTCGGATGCCAGCACTCTGTCTCTCGGGGATGGAACCTTGGATTTCACGGCGACGCTATGCTACACAACGACTCCTGAATTTGTACCTAGCCAGCCAATCGTTCTACACCTGCTTGGTCCTAAAGCTGGAGGCCCACTATCCGAGAACGCAGTGTACTGGGGCCAGTACCAGATCTTTGCTTCGCCTGAGAACCTCCCTGAACATCGCCTTCCCTTTGAATGGCGCAATGTGAGTTTACGGCGGCCAAGAGATGCAAACGGGCGGTTCATCGATTCGAGCGATAGCCATTACGCAGCGGCGCAGACTTATGTTGTCAGCGAGGCTGAGGGATGGATTGAGCTGTTTCCCGGACAAGAAGTCAGCCGGCGCGTGACGTTACAGCTTGATCAGGCTGTTGCTTGGCAACGAGGGGTCAGCTCTGGGCGGGATTATTGGTTGCGTTGGGCGCCAAGTGGAACGGTTGGTAATCCGAAGACGTTGTGGAGCTGGAAGTATGGCGGGTTGAAGGTACGTCACCGAGTTATTGTTAGGGTTGGCCATCCAATGTCGGGCAGTTGCTGACTGTTTCCACCGCGCAGGATTGGGAAGGGATCATCCTCAACAAGAAGGAGGATTCAAAATGTTGGATACCGATTCCTATCCAGTCAGAGGAAAGCGGGCTGAAGTTCAAAGTCGTTGATGGGGCCGAGTAAGATGCAGCTGACAATCATGAAACGACTTGGTTCGCTGGAGCACCCAAAATAAACGCTCAGCAGCGAATCCTTAGGGGAATCATATTCGGCCCCATTTTTTGTATTTGGCCCCCTGATTTTCCTAGTCGACCCCTCTAGGCAGAAGTATGCGTGGAAGTTTTCGAGCAGTCTGAAAGCTGTATACTTCTGCAAGATATCATAGAAACTGTAAGACTCATTCGCCAAGGTACCCAATTACTTGTAGATACACAAAGAATTAGTTGTATGCATCTTGGTGTTTATAGGTCTTGCGTGCTGTGCGTCCTCTCTAGAAACGCCTACCAGATACGCGCCGATATCCGTGCCTCGGCTACCGAGTAGGATTCTCTGACCTATAAGTGCATCCTTTTAACGTACGCGCCCTGACCTAAGCCAAGCCGATAGTCTCAGGCTATGAACCCACTCTTACGGGTTGCCTGCTTTTTCCAAGCATTATTTGAATTTATCCAGCAGGCCTGTATAGTAGAATGCTGAGGCACAGTCAATTAACTCCAAGGTACAGTTCACTAACTCTGGGGCGTAGTCCACTAATGCCGAGCACACTCCACTACCTCTGAGGCGCAGTCTACCAGTTCTGAGTTATGTTTTCTCTTTTTTGAGGCACAGTCTGTCGATCTCGTTGACATCTTGTGCCTTGCTGTGTCCGATGATGGCGTGAGACTCGTATATAAAAGGACCCTATAGTAACGCATCTCCAAGGTACATCCTCAATATCCCCAATCTTCTTCCCCAGACCATCACTTCTCTTTCATCTTCACCAGACCAACCGTTCTATCTGCAAGCATGACGCACACGAGCTTCAGCCGCTTGGTGGTAACTACTGCTCTGCTCGCAAGCATTGCATCGGCAAGCCCTGTCTTGACGCATGAGTCCAAGATTGGCGACCGGTACGTTACCTTCACCAGACTTGCTGGTCAGAGAGCTCGGTTCTGACCTCCCATAGCGTAGTCAAGCGCAACATTATCCAGGGAGCTTGCAGCGAGGAAGACTTTGAACGCTTTGCCGCCGACTACTCTGCTGGTATTGGCTATGCTAACAGGGTGAATGATATCATCAACGAAGACAGTTTCTACCTGTCCACGTTCTGGCCTAGCGACAGGCTGACGGAGGAGGACGTCGATAATTACAAGACCAATTACTTGCAGCCATATGCGGGCTTGTCCAACGCTGGCGATATCACGGTTAATATCAACTGCCGTGATACTGCGAATGAAGCCTGTACTCAGCAACCCGAGAATGCTCCACCGGGCTACGTGAGCTACGCCGTGACGGATTTTGAGGATGACAGTATAACACTGTGCGATGCATACTTTACTCTGCCACCGGATTCCGTTGCGAATGAGGCGTGGTGTAGCGAGGATCCAATCCGTTCGCTCGATGAGTTCGAAACTGGAGGTAAGCACCAGCTGTACAGCTTCTAATGGTGAAAATGCTGATCGGACATTAGCTTTCACACTCTTGCACGAATTCAGCCATCTAGATTACAGACTCCAGCCTCGACTTCAGGACTACGCATACGGATCGGCGCGATGCGCAGACTTGGCGGAGAATGATGGCGAAGAAGCGTATAACAACGCAGATAGCTGGATGCTCATCGCCCTTGGAACGTACTGGGCGGACAAGTGCGGCCGTGATATTCCTTTGAGTGAGGAATAGGAGGATTGGATGTGCGCCGGCTCTTTCTATTATCAATGGGCGAGGGGATCGTTGGCCATAGCCATCAATCCCTCGAGAAACCCTGAATATGGGTTGTTTTCGAAATACCGTGCGGTTTTTGAGCCAATCAAGGAAAATGGCGCTAGATCTAGTTTGTTAGCAAATCGTAGTACAAACAGTATCCTACTACATTTGGCATCGCCAGAACGCTCTAAAGAATGCAGCGTGTGCAGGCGTTATCTAAGAATCTCTTGGCGTATCGTTTTTCCTTTAAATATAGTGACGCTGTCTAGATGCAAATGCGTGCTTAGCTTTTAATATTTTATTGTAGAGATATAGGTGATTAACAAGTCTGTAAGAGAGATGTAGTTGGAACGAGGTGCAGCGGCAGGGTCCGCGGGAAGGGCTAGCGCGGTTTTAGTGCGGGGCGATCGCCGATTTGTGCGCGAAACCATGCGCCAATCTCTCTACACGCCTCGCTTTGTTATCCCTCACGCTGTAAACGCTACGCCTGTCTTCTTTGGGCGATGACTGTGCCTCTTCCTTTGTTCTGGTTGTTGTTGTGCGACAATAGGCACCCGTTGCGATGACGTGCGATGCCCGTGCGCGAAATCGCACGTTCACTGTGCCCCCAACACTGACGTTCGTTTGCTTTGCATCTTTTTACTTTGTCCTTCAAAATCGTGACGAAGATGCTCAGCGCACATCGTCTCGCTCACTCTCATCATCATGGAGTCTAAACCACCTTTGCCTATTTCAGCGGACTCGTATGTCTCGACTCACAGCACTGCCCTTGAGAGAGCCAGTTCACAGGCTTTGGTCGGCGATGAAAACCCGCTCAACTGGTCGGCAATGCGCAAATGGCCCTTGTCTATCATCGTGATTATGATGTCCGCAACGATGGGTTACTACTCCGGGGTGCATGCTGCCTCTATTCAGGCGGTCGCAGATTTCTATGGATGTTCGGTACTCGCGTCCACGTCTGCAGTGTCATTCTTCCTGCTCGGATTTGCCATTGGACCTCTCTTCTTCGCACCGTTGTCTGAGATGCTGGGACGGAATCCGATTCTCAGAGTCGCGTTTGGACTCTTTGTTATATCCAACATCGGAGATGCGCTAGCGCCTAACATCGAGACACTGTTGTTCTTCCGCTTTCTGGGAGGTCTCTTGGGAGCGCCGACAGGTACGGAATCAAATATAGGGAAAGCATACTCATACTGTGCTAAATTTCTGCAGTCACCAACACAGCCGGGTCTCTCACCGATATGTGGGCTCCTCACGAACGAGCTGTCCCACTCGCTCTTTTCACGGCAGCAAGTTTCTTGGGTTTTGTGATCGGTCCAATCTGCGGCGGACCAATAACACAGTACGCGTCGTGGCAATGGTAAACAGCTCCTCCTTCTACCAATGTCTCGAAAAGACGTCTAACAGTACCTCAAGGGGCTATTGGACTTCTATGATCCTCGGCGGCATAACCTACATCTGCGCCCTCCTCTTTCTCCCAGAAACATACGCTCCACAACTAGTCCGCGCGAAGCAAATCAAAGCTGGCGGCAACCTCTCGAACGTTGACTGGAAAAAACGCGCGCGCGATAACCTGGTTCGTCCATGGGTTATGCTCTTCACTGAGCCCATCGTGTGGGCCTTGTCAACGTACATGGCATTCCTATACGGAATCATGTGTCTCGTACTCGTCGCCTATCCCATCGTCTATAAGGAATACAGAGGCTGGTCAACCGCCAAGATGAGCGTTGGATACACAGGGCTGGCAATGGGAATGGCTCTTCCAACCATACTATCGCCTCTGCTGAACCGCGCCCATACACATTTTGTGCGCAAACTAGGTCCGCAGCCTGAAGCACGCTTCCCACTGCAGATAGCTTTTACATGGCTAACACCTATTGGGCTCTTCTGGTTCGCATGGACGGCAACGGCGTCTGTACCGGCTGTTGTGCCCATTCTAGCTGGGGTTCCCCTGGGTATCGGTCTTCTGACGGCTTTTCTGGATATTGCTGCGTATCTTACCGATTGCTATGGTATATACGGGGCAAGCGCTCTTGCTGCGAATGGACTTCTGTGCCGACTCTTTGGCGCAGCCTTTCCGCTCTTCTCGAAACGATTGTATGAGAGCTTGGGTGTGCCGTGGGGAACTAGCCTGTTGGCTTTCGTCGCCACGGCTATGGCGCCTATCCCGTGGATCTTCTATCGCTATGGGCCAGCGATCAGGAAGAAGAGCGCATACCATCAAGCCGCCATGGGTCGTACATAAAATGCGATAGCGTTTCTTTATGTGCTACATAGATTGAACGATGCGAATAGTTTGAGAATTGATGGACGCGACGAACAGTGATCTGTGTTGGTACATATACCTAATGTGATCCGTGCTCAAACGCGTTGATAGCTTCCCACGCGCTGCGCCCCCAGGCAGCTCCCCTTACGACGACAATTGCTTCCTCACCCCAATACACACCCTACGCCCATCGCCAAAGACATCGCTTTGCTTGCCTCGGGAAACAAATACTTTCGCCGTGAAGTATCAACGTGCGCAATGTGTGGGCCTCGCTCGAGCCGATACCGCACGACGTCAACGCGCAACCAGCCTGGCTAAAGGAGCTGATGCACCCAGTTCGAGCCTGCGATGTCAACCTCGTACCGGCCATCCCCGACAAGCTCTCTAGCTACGATCGTCACCAAACACATTAGCACGTAAAGGCACCAATAACAAACACAACTTCTTCGTTTCGAGCGATTCCCTCCCACTGCCAGTGGCCTCGCACTTCTTTCGAGCCTATATCCCCGAGACCGCCGATGATACCTGGGTGGAGAGGCTATCGTCCACAGAACCAATATCGCTTGCGCATCAATTTTGGCGGAGCAATATATACTAGGGCATTCGTCATACTCGACGACACCGCAGAGACACGGTGCATCAGGCGTGATCAGACTGTGGGCAATGGTGACAGCCCTGGGGCCATGTCTGCACACACAACAATTGGATATCGAGGTACTTCACGTATTCAAACCAACTGTACGGAGGCTATGGTGCTGTCTAGGATCAGGTCTGGCTTTTGCATCTTCTATCACGGCTGTACGCTGTGGTTAGTTTTGCACCTGCCGTTGTCGCGCACACGTGGAAGCGCCGGCCCACGTGCTGCCGTAGACCCTGATTTTTACGCCGTTAACCCCGCAAACTCCTCTTCTCGACGCGTAGTCTAAGTTCTAGATGCAGGATATCAGAAACATCCTCTTCTGACTACCAATAGTGGTCTGATACGACGGGTAAATTAACGTACTTTGCGCGCACTATTACTGAAGCAGCGGGTCTGGGGGCCTAGGCTCCTCTTGAACGAATGGCACAAGCGCCAGGCGCGCATGAGGCTCGGTGATTTCCACTTACACCTACCCAAATCCGCTAGTATACTGTAATGCTTATCTGTCGCCGAGTCGAGGCGCAATGCTTGCCTGGCCTTATTATGAGGTGGCAGTAGGTGGCTACGCGGCCTAGAGCTTACCATCTTTCAACCTCCACCGTTTTTCCTCTAACAATGCCGGGCAGAGACCACACCGCAGATGCCGAGACCTTCGACTTCATTATCGTAGGAGCTGGGTCAGCGGCATGCTTGATCGCGTCACGTCTCTCGCAGCGGCTGCCCGATCGCCGAATCCTCGTTCTAGAAGCTGGGGAACATGTTCGCGACGACGCCATAGTCCAAACGCCCGGTCTATCTGCCAAGTTGATGTCATCTGAGTACGATTGGCAATACATCTCCGCGCCAGAGCCGGGTCTGAACAACAGGAAGGTGAAGCATCCGAGAGGGAAGTTGGTGGGGGGAACCAGTGCGATCAACAGTCACAGTGTGGTGTTTCCCAATCACGAATGGCATGACCGTATCGCGAATGAGCTCTTGTCAGATCCAGGAAAAGAAGAATGGAGTGCAAAGAGCATAGGAGATTGCTACAGCCGATGGCAGGCAGAGCACCCCGAGCCCAAAGTCGACGATGGTATAAAAACATCATACCCGCGTACCATGGATTTTCTTCAATCCCGCTGGTTGGAAGCCTTTGAGGAGCTAGGCCATCCGACGGGCACTACAGGATTTGCCGAGAGCAATGCCGGCGCAGTCACTGTCACCAATGCGATCGATTCATCAAAAGGCGAGCGAAGCCATGCAGGTCAAGCATTCCTAGAGCCCGCCTTGAAACGGGGCAACGTGGCAATGAGAACTGGCATAAAGGTCGACAAGATTGCTTTTGACGAGGCGTTGACCGCAGAAGGCAAACTCAATGCCACGGGCGTTCACTTCACGCACGAAGGCGAGGAGTATCTGATCGATGGTCGAGAAATCATTCTCTGCGCAGGCGTATTTGAGTCTCCTGCGCTGTTGGAACGATCGGGTATTGGACACAAAGACGTCCTCGCGGCCGCGAATGTGCCGCTTCTATATGAGCTGCCAGGTGTCGGCGAGAACTTGCAGGACCATCTGAACTGCGGCCTATCGATCGAAGCTGGAGAAGACACTCCGACTCGTGACGACGGTTTACGAGACCCTATGGTGCAGAGAGCGGCATTAGAAGAGTACGGGAAAAGCCGCACGGGTCGACTGGCGGAAGGAGGAGCATACAGTTTTGCCTTCACACCACTTCAGTTACTTGAAACACCGCAGGAGACGGAGGAGCTCGTTACAATTGTTAAGAAATCGGTGGAAGCAGAGAGCAACCCGAGCCTAAAGGCCCAGTATTCCGTCATCCAAAAGGCGGTCGAAAG